AAGGGGGGGCGACAGGAAGCGAGGGGGCTGCCTCCCTAGTTCCTTGCCCCTCTCTGCGGCCCTGGCCGGGGCTCTGGAAGACCCTGCCCTGGAGGGAGAGGGAGCAGGGCGGAGGGCTGCCCGCGCTGGTCAGGATGGGGAGGGAATCCTGCTACATATCTGCCAGCTGCCCTGGGAATCGGGAGCGCGGTGGCGGCCCTACCATTTTCCTCCCGGCGCTGGCCGCCTAGGGGACAGTGAGGTTCAGGAGTTTGGGCTCCGTGCTGGATTTAGAGCGCTCCACCCACCCCTTTTTTTCTTTTCTGCCGCATCTTAGGGTGGTTTCTTCGGCGCAGGCTGTGTTGGCCACCGGGTCGGGGATCGCCGTCATCCGCTCCTGTAAGAACGTGGTCTCCGACAGGTAACAACATCCAATGCCAGGTGAAAGAAGTACAGATAACAGCGCCGAACTTTTTCGAAGTTTGCACATTTTAGTGGCACACAGACACTATTTCTTTATGAGTACACGCTGTTGGATAGCCGGTGAATGGGAGAACTTGGGTGCCATAATTAGTTCCCACCTCCTCTCCTTACCTCTGTCTGCGGGCCACCTTAGGGGAAAGTAAACTGAAGAAATGCTAGAGAATGACAGAGTCTAAGCCTGCTTTAAGGTAACATGTAAGACGGCGTGGTCCATTGACCCAAGTTACTTATGAGATAGAGACCTTCGGAAATGATTCAGAAGAGAGTGTGGCTTCTAGTTCTTTTAAGTCACCCCACTGGGGTCCTGCTCTGAAGCATTCATTGACCAAGATATGTGCATTGTGGCTACCAGAGCCTTACAAATGCTGCTCTTTCTCGTCTCTCCTATGCGTTTGCTCAGGGTGGTGAGGAGGTTTCAGGTGCTTTCAGAAAACTGACTTGTCTGTGTTAGCGCTCGTCCAGAGGCATCAGGAAATGTGCATCTAGTGGACTGAATCATAAAGACTAGGGTGGTCTACTTTGTGTAGTATGTATGTAGACCTGGGCAATGGTGGTGTTTTGTTTTTGAAGCCTTTTTTTTTTTTCACCTGTCTTCCTAGAACCACTCTTGCTTTCTCCCAGTTAAGTTGAAGAGCTACAGTCAATGTACAGGGAAAGTCTGACAGCGGAGTGTCCTCTTTTCACCTGTTGAGACTGCAGTAGGAGGAGAGCCTGAGTGGGGTATCTGTCTCACTGGCCTGCAGATGTAGTGCCTGGATCTTACTTGGGATTAAAGCTGCCATCATGATTTTTGTGCTTTTCTTGGTGATGAATTGTAGGTGCTGAGAGAAAACAGGTCAGGGGACTTTGATTGCATGTGCAAAAGACTGACAGCATTTGCTTGGCCGGGTTCGATTTTTATTTCAATCTAATCGAGCAGTCTGTGATCACCTGGCAAGCTCCCTCACTGCCCCCACCCAGTTTGTCAGCTCAAACTTAAAACCAGCCTCTTTTGCAAAGATTAAGACAAATGTGGCTCAGCACTATCTTGAGCTGACAGGAGGGCAAGCAGCAGGCAACCAGTACACATTTTAGAAAGAGATATTTGCGCATACTTAACTTTCAGTTCTGAGGCACCACTGTTATGTTTCCCTCTTAGAAACGGTGTGTTTTAGTGGTAAGAATCCTGAGTTTGGTTTTCAGGTCCCTCCTTTTATGTATCTTTATGCCCCAGGGGTGAGGAATGTCCAGCTTAAGGCCTGTGAAATAATTTGGTCTGCTCCTACCAAGGCATTAGGGGTGAGTTAATTAAATGTTTGACCAAATATAGCAGGCTACTTTTTTAAAAATATATTTTATTGATTTTTTTACAGAGAGAAGGGAGAGAGATAGAGTTAGAAACATCGATGAGAGAGAAACATCGATCAGCTGCCTCCTGCACATCTCCTATTGGGGATGTGC